GTGCACAAGATTGTTGCCATGGTTTCTTCGCGTACGTATGGGCTGTATTGTCTGACATGTTTCAGTGCCAAATGGACCATGTCGTGAGATGCGAGGAAGTTCGTGGGGTGGATGGTGGCAGCAACATTCCCGCTGGTCGCAGTGGTCACCGTATAGTCTGTATCGCCGGTGATATCTACGTTCTTGGCGGTTACATTCAGCTGCCCACGGGCCTCGAGGTGGTCGGTGAAGTTTGGGCCTACAATATCCTTGCCGGCCGCTGGCGCCAACTCGCTATTCCCAACTGTCCGTTTCAACTCGCTCTCTCGGCCTCCGCACTCGCCGTCGGTAAACGCATTATCATTCATGGAGGTTCAGGAATTCCCTTCGGAGCGAATGTCAACAATTCCCTGATGGAGATAGACGTGGTGACGGAGCGGTGCGCCGAATACGCCTGCAACCCAAAGGACGGGGAGACAAAGAACATTCCGCAAAAGACCTACGGTCATTCCCTGACGTACGCGCACCTGACAGGCCACAAACCGCCCGGATGTGGGGATATGCTTTTCAAGGTGGGTGGGGCGCTTGGGGTGCCCTATACGAACATCGTGAGCGCGTTCTCCTTCGACACGGGCACGTGGGAGACGCTATTTGGCTGTGACGGGGCCAATTCTGAGGAAAAGTTTGCTCCCAGGTGAGTTTGGGAATGCACAAACAGCTAATTGCACCATTTCTGTGTATTCTTGTTTAATTGAAGTGTCTGAGGATTGTGGATGTATTTCAGCCCGCAGTTGTTGAGTCGCATGATCTAGGAAATTGGCCTTTGATGTGGTTATACGTTGACTACCATCGTGTTTACGGTGGTCACATGTGCACTGCCTTAAACGCTCCACTTGTGTTGGGATCGAAACACAGCCTACTATCGACAAATGTTTCATGAGTTTGATTTGGCGCTTCAAGTGCGTTTGTGTGGTTCCATAAAGTACAGAGACTGTTTATTTTTGCCCTCCTCCCTTGATCTCCAAAATTAGTGACATTTTTTAAGTATTTCTGCACACGTTAAGTATAAGAAATCAGTTATGCCTTCGAAAACACGCAAAATTATAGGGAAGTATCTGTTTCTAGGTGCTTTGAATGAGGTCTCGTGTTGTTGAAGTTGGCTATAGAACGTAGTTATTTCCAATCATTGACTCCAGACGTCGAAACTATTCGTGGTCCTCAAGAAGTCTTGGTTGTCGCATCTGCCAAACGACTTCCTACTGGCCAACCACATGTGAGAGTTTGCTGTGTAGTCCACTAACGGTGAAATGTTGTACACTGGTGGCACGGGTAAATTTGAAACACACATGGAATTGGAATTCGTTTTCTCGATGGATCTCGATTCGCTGAGTTCCCGCTGACATGGATGCTGGTTTACAAAAGTTGGTCGTGCGACTAAGGTCAATCGAATTTGCGGTTGGTAATGGTGCGGAGGCGTGGAGTTTCTTGTGAGCAGGCCACATCAATTAGTCAATTATGAGCTGTCATGTGGATCCGCCTTCCTATAGTCCAATCAGCATCAGGTCAACATTGGAAGTTGATAGTTCTTGAATCGTGGTGTGTGTAGGATCAAAAATGCGAATTTATCTATTAATTTTGCCTGGTCATGAAATAGGGGGTTGTCATTTAGAAGGGGGCTGCCTGTGTGTCTTCCACAAACGAATTTGGAAGCCAAACAGCTGTGGAACTAGGAAGTTTGTCGTCAAGTTCTTCGAAATGAACTGTGGTCTGATATAAGTGGGTTATTTACGAAATTTCAGGCCTTGAGTCAGCGAATGGCTTTTCAGATGTATCCACTCGTTAAATGTGACCTCATTGTGAGTGAGTGACAATTGCCTACTGTCTTGGCCATTCACTTGTATAGCATTAAGACGCCATACTCGAAGACTGTTAAATTTTTATGTGAGTAAAAGTCAAAATGTCCTTTGTAATCATTCATAACCAACAACAAGCAGCATGACTCTGTAGCTACTTTTTGATTATATTTGAGGCTGTGTCATTATTAATGAGTACGTCGCTCGTGCGCTGACTTACTATTGGTGATGCAGTATGCGAGAGTCACACAAAATGCACAACGCCATCCGCACTCGAATGTTCTTTCCAGTGTCTTGGTAGCGTTTCTTTAGTTAAAGTGGTCTTGCAATAACACATCCGGTTGTTAAAGACATGCACGCACACACACTGGCAATAAACTGCTAACCTTCAGAAGTTGGTATTTCGTTAAAGTGTTTGGGTTAGCTGAGCACTTGGTCCGACCCTCATTTGACCTCTGGAAGATGATCCAGTCCGTGCCACGATTAGCATCTTGAATTTGTTTCGTTAATGTTTTGATCCGTGCCTTTGCTGACCAGAATGCGAATAGACTGGCACTTATGCACAATTATGTCGCCAAATCCACGTGTCTAGATTGTACACGCGGGTTTAGTGTGCGGATTGTTTGGTCCTATATTTGGTCGTTTTACTCTAGATATCGACATGATGCTATATTCTGGAAGGACGAGTTGTACATAATTGGAGGAACGAATTCAGAAGGCAGCCTACCATTTTGGCCGGTAGGTTTATAACTGACAGTGGAATATGTATACTTTGATATCTTGTGTGTTTACAACCAGTGGGCAGGTTGCGATTTCGTTGTTGTTTGTTTTACTTAAATTTACTTGTTAGTGTCTAAGCCTGCCATTGAATTTCACTTGAGAGCTCGCTTAGACCGTCTGTACTGTGGAAACTCAAATCCACGACTGCATTTGCACTGTCGCGTTGAAGGCCTTGGAAATGTTGATCTCCAGTGCACCTTTGTGTGTGTGTGTGTGTCCAAACCACCAGTGAGGTGGGTCTCACTGTCCAAGCTCTAATTCACACGGCGTCTGCTGTCATGATGGTTGTGCAGGACAACGGCAGAGCTCGGCCAAATCGTTAATTGGCTATGAGGATGCACTACTCAGTCGTCCATCAGATGCAATGTTAGTTGATGCCAAAGCTATCGACGTAGTTCGTTGTCAAGTCGAATGGGAAAGGTGGTTGTTCAAATTGAAGTAGCCAAAATGTGGGGCTGCGACAGCGACTGCAGCGGGGAGGGGTTTTGTCGCACAACTCGGTGTGGGTGATGCCATCCGACATGGGGGTCGGCTGTCCTCCGCCCATGAAGCAATTTCATTCGTGGAAGCTCCTATCATAGTGGCTGATGCCGTTAGCTATCGTTTTGTCATCTTCTGAATGTCAGTTGGATGTTTTGGTTTAAATTTTGCTCTCTAATTTATATTTTTTCCTCCTAGTTACTATTTGCAATATGTCAGTCATTTGCAGTTAGCTAGCATTTGAGGCTTCTATATACAAGATGAAGCATTAGTAATCGGGTGACCGCCGCAACCTCTGTTTTAAGTTCACCAGCAGCTAGTTAGGTGATCGTATGACCAATGCTTGACTGACTGCTACTGTTTGTCAAAGGAGTTAATGTGAACACATCCCACTGGGAGGGTTAACGTCCTTGAGAAATATCGGAAGCAAATCATTGGCTTCTGTCATCTAAAGAAAGTGTGTTATTTGTTTAGCGCTTTATTAAGAGGCCAACAACTAAGGAACTCACCACCGATTTCATGCGTAATTAGCTCCAGCATTAAAAAGAGGTACAATGAACAGTATTGTTCACCGCTTTCAGCCGATTTAGTCATTGAAAGTTCTTGCAATACGTGGAAGACTGGATTCTTTACTTCGAAAACAATCAGTCGGTTGAAGTTGATTTTGCGTGTAGTTGGCGAAAGTCCTCAAGATGCGATTAACCAGGGCTTCGCATCTCTCTAATATCAGTTGTGTCATTTTTGAACAATTTTCAGCCGAAACAAAATCGCCACATTTGCTCTGATTGAACAAAGATGATCATAACTGTAGTAAAGGATCATCCTCAACATTTCAGCAGCTCTGTCGGGAAAATGCCATGTTCCCACGAAAAGTTATGGTGATGAGTAACTCAGTCTACGATGGAATACCGTTAGACCATTTATTAGCTTGCCGCAATTATGGTCGATTCATGTACCAAGTCAACAAGGTCTGTTCTCCGCAGAGCCTCTAAATTCATTTAGGAAAACAGTCAACATTTCGGGCGCCTATTTTAGTTGTGCTCTGTATGTCTACCGTTTCGTTTTCATTTAATAATGTGTAACCCGAGTATCGATAAATGATATCATTTGGCCTAAGAATTCTTTGACTGACCGACCGCTAACTCACTCTGTGCATCGTTTTCCTTAAAGGATGCCTATGGTGACTTGATTAGTATTTCTTGTAAAGTGGGTTTTTATACTATTTTATGTTTCCTTACGCTTCATACTTTGGTATAAGCTAATTTTACAATGGTGCAGTTCCAAACTATATTTTATTCAAACCTTTTACACGGGGTTGTAGTTGTACCCTTTGGGAACCAATGATTCCCAAATATACTTATCCTTATACAATAACCTCCGGATATGTGAAACGGTGCTGATGCCATGGAATTCACCTCAGGCTGTTCATGCCGCGTCGAGGGTAGGTGCAGCGTTTTAAATAGTAACCTCTCTTTTTAGATGCCCGTATTCCACGTGCGTGAACGCTCGTGGCGCAACATCACCTTTTCTGGCAGTTGCCCCGCCCCTCTTCGCTGTCCCTGCTCTGTTCACTTCAACCACGGTTCGTTTTTAATTTGTTTTGAAGTCGGTCCCTTCTCGCTGCTTTGGTTTAATGTGAAGTTTTTCGTAGCGCTTGGCGAATTGGCGCACTCTAGTATCTCGATGTTGCCAGGACATTTTTGCTCTTATTTTGTTTCACTTCTTATGAACAAGTATTCCGTGTTGTTTGATTTATCGCGTGAATGTGGCATCCAATTTAGATGCTTGATGTCAATAGGATGATATATAGTCAAAATATGCCTAAAACATGGCGCAGTAATTGCGTTTACCCTTGAGAACAGTCCATTGAGCGTGAATTCACAGTCTGTGCCAATCCTTACCTGATTGTTTCTTGTAAACATGCTCACCTTGTGGAAAGAGCAAACCGACTACTCAGAGGCCGTCAGGCAATGGCTAGAACCCCCTTGTTGCGCACCAACCTAACACTCCTCTGCATTATTGGTGCAAATTCAAACTCATATTGATGTTTTAATTCGAGATTTGCACATATCTGCCGGATACAATAAATCGCCATCGCTATCGAAGTCTTGTTAAATCCTGTTGACATTACGTGTCAACTTGTAGCTTCAATTTGCCGTCTCGAGAATCAATGTTTTGCCCAACATTTTTAAAATCGGATTTCAACCGACAAAGGAACTACCTCAGTGTACTGAGGATATTAGCATGCTTAGCATTTGTTTTTGCTGAGTCCCACGTGCATCCTGGTCACGGCGTCTGGGAATGAACTACCGTAACATAAGCACCTATGGTCTTAGTTATCAAGTTTCGCGTGAAGAGTAAACAGGCACAAAAACTTGTGGTTTGTGGACTTTTTGCAAGACATCCTGCAACGGTTGGCGGTTTTGATTCCAGTCTAAAGTGTCAATGCTATCCGCGGCGGTAAAACTTGCAATCCGGATTAAAAGGTATTGAAAGCATAATCTCATTTTCTTACTGCTAATTCATCGTAGCTTCGGTGCTCCTTTGCCAATGATGTTTTTTACTAAAAAAGAAGCAGCTAATGTTGCATTCGCGTTAGTTGATATGTCCGTCGAAATTAGACTCCCATCACACCTGAAATTGTCCTCCGTCAGCCCTTTATAGGAAGCTTAAAAACCACCATACATTCATCAAACTATTATGTGCACCGGTAAGCTATTTTATACTGTCGTTCCAGGAATTAACAGCCAAAAGCTACACCTACATTAGGAAGATAAAAACTCCAAAACACAGTGTGAGTTTATATATTTGTGTTAATCAAAGGATTGATGGTGTGTCATATGGTCTTAGTCCTGACATTACAAAGATAGACTACGGCTTGAAAATTCTGATGCTACTTTGGTTTCCCTCGCGATATTACCGTTTCAAACACTGCCTGTTATGACACACGTCACCTGAGAGTTTAGTACAGAGAATTTGCAATTACTGAGTTCAATAAGTGAACGCTTTGTGTTTACTTTAGTCGTTTATACAACTGGTGGTATATCGGATGCAACTGGTGCCTTGAACGATCTCGTCTATGCCTTTGATCTCGAATCGCTAGTTTTCTACACCGTTGGAACCCAACCGCTACCCACGTTCTTTCATGACCTCACGGTTGTGTCCGAGGTAAGTGCGCTCATCCCAGCGCCGTTTGGTTCTCGTTGTCTTGATCTTTACGCACCCACCGCCCTCGGCTTGGGCAGCCGCTCTCTGAATGCTTCCAGGTCAGCTGACGAGGACTTCATGTTTATAAGTTGTCTAAAATCATAATTTGCTGCTTTTATTAATTTACCACATTGGACCGCCATCCGCCCTACTCTCTGTTACACCACTGACGTTTAAGTAGAATTTAGTACACTTACATTACTCAATCGATTGTAACTTTGTGTTTTTGAGCAAACATACTTAGCGATTTCAAATTCTCACACACACACCGGCGATTTATCAGGCCAAAGGGGTTTTCTTAAGAAACGCTCTTTGTTTCATGCTTTACAAGACCGCGCATTTACTTTTATGGGATGTGAAAAAGTCGGTAAATAAAATGAGGCAAATGCTTCTCTTTTTTGAAATCTGCTTCCTTCGAGTTATAACTGAAAGTTTTTTTTCGCGTAGGTGGCATTCTACTTCACTAAATGTCACATTACTTTAATATTATATTTGCGTTGTCTAAAGTGCTACGCTGCATCCTCAGTGGCTGGGAGTTCGCTAAAGGGCCCAAACAACTAATGATTTAAGGTAGTTTCCTAACATTTAGGGGCAATTCTACTCCTTCGGGGGTGTCCGAGAGGAAAACCGCGTGAATCATCTCTTCTGCTTGACTCTCCTCCACCAACCCAAGAGCCTTGCTGAGCTCTGCTGGCAGCGGGTATCCCACGAATTGCGTGTTTTCTTCCCACCGGACCTAAGGGCGTCGCAGTTAGAAGAAGTGTTTCGTGAGGGCTGCCTGACTTTTTTCAGCCGGCTAATGATTCAGCACGTGCAAACCATGTTTGAAAACGAGGCTGGTGACTTCGCCAACGACGACACTCTAAGCGGAATACACGAGATCTACAAGTACACTAAAACTGCTCTCTTCAATTTGCTCAACCGGTTTCGATGTGAGTCAACTTTACCCACTTATATGAATCAGTGTTTCTTGTTTGTCACTGGAAAACCGTTTTCTCACTTGGCCGTAAACCTCGTGCTTGTCCACCTTTCGGTTGTCTTGTGACACACTCAACTGTATCAGCTAATGTCTCAGGGCTGTTTTCATCTAAGTGGTCCGTGTTTCATATTGGCGCAGAACTAAGCCGTGTGACCGTTATTTACCATCCTTTAGCTTAACTAAGCGATTAACAAAGTCGTCAACTGTGTTGCTCGTGATTTCTCAAATCTCATTAAGCTTAACTCGATTAGCTATGAACATGCCAACTCCATTAACTTCCTGGAATTTTGTGCGGGTTCTGGTTCTTTCACATTGTCCTTTTCTCTAGCCGTGACGTGGAAATATAGATCGACCCCTTTGGGGTCGCTTCCAAAGTGCTTTGGCCTTCTTTTCGACTCAATGATGACGGCGTTTACGTCAATCGTAAGGGAGATCGAAGGTGAGTTTGTCCATTCATCCATTTTTTTAAATATATGATTTATCTGCACTTTCTTGTTCTGTCTATCGGTCCATATTGATGACTATGACTAGGATACCATTCACGGTTTTTTCTTTTAATTCGGCTAGCGGAGCGACGGGTGGATCCAGTTGAATGCGTTTCACTCTTTTTGACGATTCTTTTCTACTGCAACGGGGCCCCACTGAAATACGTGACACGCCTACCCTACGGATTCCGTTGTCTCAATGTTGTATGTCGCCACATGGATCGAATCGCCAGTGAAACCAACGATGATACTTCGTCCCCACCAAAGAGGACGCTTTTTGCTACCGTTTGATCTTTGTTGCTTGTACACAATTATCCGTTATTGTTCGTGTTCCAATATGTACATATGCAAAAATCGGCCCGAATTCTAATAGATTTGTCCAGATCCATTGAATTCACTTTTCCCTCAGTTGAGGATTTTGTGTAAAAAAATAAGGACAAAGGACGGTTTTGTGGAAAACGTGTGTCGCTAAGCTGTTGACTTTTGTTGCTGCACTTGTACGCTGAAGAGATGTGGAATTGTGAGAGCCCCAAAGAATAACTAAACGGTAAAAATCCGCTTAGCTGACAGTCTTTAAATGAAACAAGAGAGTTTTGTTTCTTCATGGCGTAAACTTTTGCCTCTGTCACTCACAATCACACGTGCCTAAATGACTCGTCACTCGGGAAATAACCTTGTTCTAATTGCTGGTAATGCCCTCAGCGTGGTCTTTTATCCTCGTAAGATCCGTAGCAACAGCAATTGAAGAGCCCGTCCTAAAGATTAAAACCGTTGATCATCATATTGTTGAACCTTATTCATTTGTCTAAAGTGGTTGTGACAGAAAGTCGAGATTGACTTGAAACGCGCTCAGGCAAACTTCGATCAATGGCAAATATTTGTTGGTGTAAGTTTTTGCGCGAGTTTAGTCCATACTCGAGAAGTGCGGGAACTTGCGTTCGTGGCGTTCAGTAGTCACTAAGCAAGCGCTTATTTTTAGATGGATTGCTTATAAAATCACAAATTTGTAGCGATATAATCCTGCTTTTAAGTATTGTTAAGTATGTTTTTACCTTGATCATTCGATTAGCAATAATAAGGAGTGTCATAGACTTACGTCTTAAATTAAGAGGCCTTTTGATTACATATTTCAAATGGACAGAAAAACATCATGTCGTGGCTATGGGTGTTGATCGTGATACGATTTGAATTTGACTTGGCGAACCACGTAGAACCGAATGGAATTAATCGGAGTATTTACGTTAAAAGAGAAATGATTCAGCTTTGTCAACATTGAATACGGATTTTGAGACGAATGTATACTTAAGTAAAAGCTAAATGCATATATGTCTTAGATGGGCCACAATAAAGCAATTCAATAAATCGCAAAATTGCAGGTATTTGTTTGTGAAAGATAATCTGAGTAAATTAATTTCTCAAAAATGCGAATGGCACTTACTGCTACTTAAGCTGACATACAACTCGACCCATGTTATTTGAAACAGCACAGCATTTCACGATGCTCAGCCAAATAGTCTCGACATTACTTGCTTTACCGAAATTTACCGTGCTAGCCAGGAGGCGTAAAACATCGACAACTGTATCAGGCAACCTACAACAAAAATCATTATTAAAATTTTTGTAACGAGAATAAAGTCTTCCTTAAAATATTGACATAGTGAAGAGGACAATTCTTTTCAGTCAATAAACTTGAACAGTGTATAATATTACACGGACGAATATATATTTATAAGAGGACATCAACAGCATTTAGCCTACTGAGTATCAGAAAAATGTGCAATGGGAGAATGCATTAACTGAAATGAACAAACGCCTCATTAAAAAATTATATACCGCTGAGCACCTGTACACAAAATGAAAGTTATAGCCGAAACGGAAAAATTTTACTTAACCCACAATAAGATAATAGAGAATTTTGGTGGTTACCAGGGTATTAGGCGTTGAAAATGGCAAGAATCACAATATGGAATGCTCAACCACGTAATTTTCGGAGTGGCATGAAAAAACTGCAAAATTTGAGCGCGAAATCTCTCCTTAAAAGAAATCAGTGTTCATAATCGTGGGTTTATGAAAAAATAGTGTGTTACAGGATGATTTAATTTAAACTTTGATATAATGAACATGATAAAAAAGTACTGCCGTTCTTTTAGGAGTTTCACATTTACCTTAGGTCTTTGTAAATGATTAAAATAGTGTGTAAGTTATTGTTTGCGGTGTTTTTTAGATTATTGTCACCGATTAAATTAATATTATTATGTGACTAAAGAAAGTAAACGAATTTCACGGTGACATTAAGCACTTGTATTTCCAGAAATAGCAAATACTTATGATGCCAAAGGCAAAAGTGATAATGAATATTGTAACACCAGACATGACTGAATTCTGGTGGCTGTAAACAAATACTCAGAGTGTTTTTAGAAAAACAGCTGTGGTCAAGGTATTCTGAGTTAACCAGGACAGAAGCTCCACAGCCATTAGCTACGATAGTTTTTTAATCTTTAAGACAGATGAATAATGTTATAACACCATTTTGCAAATGAAAAGTTTTTAATTATGTGAGTCTGTGATAGATTCATTTAATTAAAGTAAAAGCATTTAAGAATCAACGAGGTTGCCACGAGTTTAACTGATTTTGCTTTACCCAATAGAAATCGGGTTTAATGCAACAATAAGTTGCGTTTCTGCGCTCCAGGTTTTTGTAACCATGGCTGTCGTGCAGTCAAATATGGCTGTTGAATGTGAAACCTCCATTGTTTTTAATGAATTTAAGCACTTTGATGAGTTTAACTCTCTTGTTGAGGAGGTTTGTACGTCTGTTGGGGATGTTCGAAAAGAAGAAATGCTCTTGACCAAATTTACAGGTTTGTTTTTCCTTTTTCATTTGTGTCACCGGTGAACAGTCATATTTGGATGGTACCAGGAGCAGCCACACCTTCTAGACCCACATTTGACTGCAATGCTTGGAAAGTGCATTGCTTTAATCTATCAGAACATTGACTCTCCAAGAACATATCATTTTGTATTTAAAATAATTCACCTAATGATAAACACAAGAGGCTATAAATGTCTTGTTCGCCTTATGCCCCACACAGTTGATGACCTAGAACCAGTACTTGACCTTCTGAAAACGCAAGATCTTAATGATCATGACGTTAGTTTGTCGTTTTATTCTAACTGCAATCTTATTGTAGAATTGGCAAACCCGATATGTTCTTTTACTTTGGCTATCGATAGTTATAATGGTTCCTTTTGCACTGGAGCGACTTGAGAAACAGGGAAAGCCTCCTCTGAGTGAATGCGTTTTAAACGAAGCCAAGAAACATGTTGTCCTGGATGACGTTACTCAGGATGGCGCTGCGTATCTTTTAGCCAAGCTTATTTCTCGCCCAGACGTCTATCCATCAAAACTTGAAGACCTATTCCTTTGGGCTGAATGTGAACTGAAAGATGCTAACTGTGAGTTCTTCTTGCTGACGTTAAGCCTGCTGTCGTCAAACTTTCGCACTTATTTCACTTAAAGACTTGCTTTTTCCTCGTAGGGGTTGGTATTTATCCTGCGGTGCTACTGTTTTGCAATAGAACGTGCAGTAATTTTTCATAATACACTAAAATCCTATCGCATCCTGTCATTCCCTTTGGAACACTTATTTTGTACACGGTGTACTCGCATACTTGCTCCATCTTCTCGCACTTCCACTTTTCTGGATACACATATGTCTAATTAGTGTCATAAACCAATTTTTTTATATTTATACATTGAGTAAGATCTACGTTACGTTGGTGTTCCGGCTTATTTAGGTGTATTGTCGTAATACCGTCATTCTACGGTTTCTCTTCCGGTATGACCATCAAAAAGGCGTCTGCATGAGCCAATTTTTCCTTTTTTAGATGACTCTCATAAGGATCAGATGCGTGTGTCTGGCTGTCTGCGTAGCTTCGCCAACATTTGCAAAATCGTTCCTCGTGCCGTTCTATATCCGCATGCTTCACGTCTGCTTAATATTATCAACACACTTATTCCTGAGAGGATTAATAAAAATGTCCTTCTCGCACGTCTTCGCACCAAACTGATCCAGCGTATTGGTCTTCTCTTCTGCCCCCGCAGGGCTGCCGCTGCCTCATGGCGTTATCAGCGAGGTTTCCGTTCGCTTATGGATAATCTCAGTTCCATTATGCAATCACAGACTAATGTTTTGTGCGGTGGTGATATGTGTCTTTCAGACGCCGCCTCTTCTACAGAGTCCTATTTAACGTCAAAAACTCAGGGAAATGAGGAAAAAGATGATGATGAAATTATTGATGTGCCTGATGAAGTTGCAGACGTTATTGACCAGTTAATTGATGCGTTAAGAAGTAAATTTACATATGTTCGGTGGTCAGCTGCCAAAGGGTATGTCCGTTTTTCTCATTTACGGTGAATCCTCTTTCTTTTCTTTTACATGTTTGATTTATTGTAGACTGGGGCGAATTTGTTCACGACTCACGGCTCCTTTTGTGGATGATGTGCTCTCAGCTATTCTTAATCTCTGTACGCGACTGGAGCCCTTCACGGCATGGCATGGCGCATGTTTTGCCCTTGCAGAACTCGGTCGACGATGTTTGCTTCTGCCCGAGAAACTCCCAGAAGTAAGCGACGTACAAAACCTTTTGCTTGACGTTTGTACGTGTTAGAATTTCCCTCTTCTTCCTTTCCAAGGTTATTCCAGTTGTTTTGACAGCACTCTTTTATGACGAAAAATCGGGAGACTGCAACTTCGGGTCAAACGTCCGAGACGCTGCCTGTTATTGTTGTTGGGCGTTTGCCAGGGCCTACAGCGCCTCTGACTTTGCTTGTCATGTTCATGAAGTTTCACGCAAATTAATACTGTCAGCGCTGTTTGATCGAGAGCTGAATGTTCGTCGGGCAGCCGCGGCTGCATTCCAGGAAAATGTTGGTAGACAAGTAAGCGTCTCTTATCTGGTTCAACCTGTATGACCTTTCTGGGGATTACAATTTTCATTGATTCTTTTTTGTGAGCGTCATTGGGACGTATTTGCGCATTAAAAGTCTTATTATGTTTACTTGGCTGACAATGTTCCTTTTTTCTAGGGCCAATTCGCCAATGGCATAGAAATCATTACCACTGTTGATTACTTTGCCGTCGGAAGCATTTCTAATTGCTACCTTAACCTGAGGTTAGTTTAATTTAATTTTTAGGCTATGTTTTTACCATTCTCAAAAAACTCCGAATTTGACTGTGATTTGGTGCTATTTCTTCTGTGGTTCAAGTTTTTTGAAAAAATTACTTACATTTATGCGTTTTCGTGCTATCTCTTCGTCGTCGCTAGTAGTCTTTGGGATCACATGAAGTGATGATTTGTACCGTTTTTGGAATGACCACATCCACATGTCATGCATTTTTGCGTTTTCAGTAAATTCGTAGCCGGGTTTGAGGAGTACACGTCTGCCGTTATCGAGCACCTTGCATTCGCAAGACTCGGACATTGGGACGAAAATATCCGGGATATGGCTGCCCGAGCTTTAAACAAACTAACTCCGCTAGCGGTGGAACAACTGCAACAGTCAAGTAAGCTTATCTGTTTAGCCTATCTCGAAGTTCCGGAATAGGTCTTATGTGACCTGCCTTATCGGATCGGGCATTAAAAGCATTTTTGTGTAGTAAGTTATGCTAGAATTTAATGCGATTGGGTGTTGGGTGTTTATAACTTAAGAATGATGCTTACGCCAGAATTATAACAGAGGCATCGCCAATGTGTAGCGCTTGTGGGTGTCTTCGGTACGCTGTAGGAGTCCGAAGCACCAAAATAATCCCGATGTTCAGCAATCATTCTCAAGCCTTCCTTCTATGGTCATAGAAACTGGGGTAAAGTCACTATTCATCCTTTCATGCATTTACACTCGCTCTTATCATAATTGAGGATTCCTGGCGCAAATTTACAGATTGGAACATCTCTTTAGTAACTTAATTTTAGTCCGATTTCTTAAATATCTTTAATGCCCACGTCTCAATAAACTTCGATAAATGCACATTTTAGTTTTACCCAAACTCCTGCACAATGTTGGCAGTTCTGATTTGTACATGCGACAAGGAAGTGTTCTGGGCATTGCTGAGGTAATCGAATCTCTCTCAGCGTGAGTTTTTATCCAAATGTTTGACGTTTACTGTATTCATCGTGCACATTATTTTTTCAAAAATCTTTTTTATATCAACAGGACTAACTCTCTTCCGGGAGAAATTGTTGATAGCATAGTTGAAATCTTTTCAAAGGTTAGTATATTGTTCCAGACTCTGGGTTAATTTTACAGTTCCAAATCGTCAAATGCAAATGTTTTGCTAAACGGACAAAGAAAGGCTTAAAAAATAAAAAAATTCTCCAGTTTGTTTTTACTCCTTATTTCTTGATGCACCTACTTACTGCCCGTAAAGGATAAGATTTCTATTTGTCCGACGTAATGTTTTGGTGTCATGTCATTATGTTCAAACTCTGGGAAATCGCCAATGATTTAAAGCAACCTGTCATGGCTGGCCACTTGGGCACAGTTTTCTGTCAAGACAATTCATTTTCGCCTAATTTCGTGTCAAACTTTCTTCACGTGGCCGTGCGTGTCTTTGTTTGTGAGCGTTTAGCATAAATCACTTGGAATTTACTCAGCTCAATTTGAGATGATTTATCGGTATTTTTTAAGCTGGAAGAACGCAAGCACTTCCACGGGGTTGCAGGCGAACTAATGCGCCGTGCTTGCTGTCGTCTCATTGAGAAGGTCTCGACTTCCAAGCTCCCTCTTCATGAACACCCCATCCTTGGTAATTTTGACGCTTTCAGTACTGTCACTTTCTCTGCTTACATGTGTCTGGATCGTGTTTTTTTGTAACTTTTAGAAAGGTGGAGACATTTTCTGGATGACTGCTTAATTCACAAGGAATCAAGTGTTGCGGTGAGGAGAGAACTGTTTTCTTTCGTTGCCTAATGCTCTTGTAATTACCAACCACACCTTCAAATGCTATTGCTCATTGTCATATATTTCAACCAGACTCATATCATTTGCATTCATTAACCACACCAATCGAACGCTGTTTTCCACACAGGAACCTGCTATTCCGGCTTTCGCTGCGTTTATTTCGACCTACACTTACTCAAAGGATGGGGTTCTAAGGAAGGACTATCGTGGTACGTCGTATTCATTTTTGGTTTTTGCATGGGTTCCCAGAAAAGTGCACGGACTTCAGTTCTCATAATCATAATTGAGCTTCAACGCCCTCGTAAGCCAGTACTTAAACCCTCATTAAAGTACCTAATTTACGTCAATACTGGGCTTAGCGTTGACAACTTCGTTCATGTAGCCCAAAGCATGTTCCAAATGCAACATTTTGAGCTGCAACGTTTATTGTTGATTACAACTGACGATGGAATTTCACGTACACCGCTGAAGTACCGACGCAAATCCATAAATAATTGAAATAACTCAGTCCCAGATGATTGCTCAGAAGATGATGTGACGGCATCTTGGCATTTTATTTTACATGAAGTATTATTCCGTTGATTTTCGTAAAGCACATGTCCGCTATCGAAAGCTCCAGTTTTCGCAGTTCACCATAGGTATTCATTACTACCATCTACTCATTTTCAGTGATTGCTCACGTGGCCTGTCCTTTCAGAAGCATTGTTTGAGTTTGGCTAAAAAAGCCAATTCTCCTCTGTTCTCAAATTTTATTATCGATGCTATTAGCGGATTGTCGATTCTCGTGTCCAATAATTTCACATAAGAAGCCTCACCAACTCGTTTGTGTAAACATTCAATCCTGATTTACCTTGCTCCTTTTTTTCAGATCAACTTTTGGCCCATCTGCTCGACTGCCTGAACGCGAAAACGGAGAGTAACCAGGTGGGCTACCTGGGGGTGTTAAGCCAGGCGCCTGGTTTCCTCTTTGTCGACGATGTCGAGACGAGCCTCCGAGCAATTAGCGCCTGTTGCCGACCAAACAAACAAACCGTCCTGTGGGGGAACGCTCGCCAGCGCGCACTCTCTGCCCTCACAGAGTACGGATTTGCTGTCCCTTGTATTGAGCTAATGCAGACTTCTGCATTTGTTAGTTACAAGCAAGTGTTTATACCTCTATGGTACTACAGATCAGGTTCTATGAGATACTTTCCAAAACTCTTCCATTTTATTGATCACGGGTACACAGCAATCAGAACAAACCTGAGGTTCACTCATTTATTTATTTGGATGTTGTTGCTTAAGACGCCTTTCACCTAGTTTTCCAACACACGCATCATCATGTGGAGTGTACTTCCCCTGGTTAGCTAGCATCTCTACTAGCGTGTCATAAGTAGGAGTTTGGCTTCAGGTCAGACGAGTCTCGGTGTGACGGAAAGCCCTCCGAACCATCTCGTTTGTGGTTTTTATGCAAATCTGACTTCTCCGATTCGCATAGGGTTGTCAAGAACATTGGTTTGGAGGCGGACACGATTTCGGACAGCCAACTCAAATCCCTCTATCCTGTTCTCATTGGTTCCTTGGCTGACTACACAACTGATTCTCGCGGCGACATCGGCTCAATGCAAGTCAAGATTCATTATTTGAAATTATGTGTGAATCACTCATAAGATTTCAATAGTGATCATTTTTTCTCTGAGAATAAGCACAAGTTTTGAGCAAACCATAAACTCATTCATCAGATTCCATGTAATCAAATTTTGCCCAACTGTGGGCTTATTCGGACACAAACTCACAGCAATCAGCAAGCCAACAGCAATTTACTGATTGAGTGTTGCCGTTGTGTGGTCGCGGTTTCTACCACTCTTGGTTCGGATTGCCTTTCACTTAAAAAAGGTCTTTCAAATCGAGGTGTTGCAAAAGAAATATTTGAAATAACTCATCCAGTAAAACACGTGTGATACACTGCCTCATGTGGAAACCTCGTTTGCATTACGATAGAAACTGTCATGTCCAGCAGCTTGTTCAGTTACTAACTCAACGTAGACTTCAAAGGCACGTTCGGACATGGCATACCTACTCAGATGCCTAGTACAGGTGCATTCCTCGATGTTGTGTTCACCACCTACTTGAATCACGCGGCCGGCTGCTGTGCCTGATGGTGACGTTGGCCATGGATGCATCTCATGATGTGTCGCGGTGGTAAATCGACTTTTAAACATTTCCTCGTGCTTTAGAGTGCGGGAGGCCGGTATGCAGGCGCTTCTGGATTTCTCTAGCAGCCTGGTGAAGGCAGGTCGACTCGATGTCATCGATAGTGACATGTACGTGCAAATCTACATTTGTATTTGTGTTTGTTTTCTCCTGGCACCTAAGTGAGCCTGTGTTTTATGCGCTTCTTTCAGCTAGGGTAATTTCAACTGTTTTCTGTCCACTTAATTAGATTCCGTGTTTAGACAAGTTTGCAGCTTTTTATGTAAATGTGAGTTCAATCACCAAGTTATCCGTGCTTTAAAGGGTGATGCCAATTAACCTCACTGTCTAGCATCGTGTCCATTAATGCATTTCTTAATATTCCCCTTTTACTTGGCAATTAATCGTCAAACAAAATATTTTCCCAATGTTTCTTCTACAAAACATCTACTTTTCGCCTCGGATTTTGCATTTACAGCTCTCTAAGCTCTATTTCTGAGCGTATGGCTACTTCTAATTTGCCACGTAAACTTGAGTCACCAGTTAATGGTTTAATTTGGTTTCCATTAGGTCAGCCACTTGTGCTTTACAATCAAGACCTTCCTTGTAGAACGGGTGGTGAAATGCAACCATGAATTCGGTCATGTTGTAGTGAACCGCAATCACGCGCGTGGTCCAAGAATGCCGGTACAACCCGGAACTGTAAAAAGTACCAGAACGCCAAGGCCTTTCATGTGGTAGTCCTTCTTGTGAAGGTTTAGGGAGGTGTAGTCGTCTCTGACCGCTCTCTTAGTAAATACAACACTAGGATAAGAGTGATTTTTTGGGGGGGAATTGGCATGCTGCATCTGTTTGTGATAATCCTCGTGCGTAATTCGTGTAATTTTAGAATGGAACAGGTCTTTATGCAGGTCGCCCGACAGGCGGTGGAGAAGATCGACCGGACAAGGGCCACAGCATGTCAAGTGTTTGTTGGTCTTCTACATCATGAGTACGTGTGCACATTCCTTTTATGTTTTCCTCTTTTTCACCCAATTTTAATATGGATGTCTTACTTTAGACCACAAATTCCTCACATTCCTCACGTCGAAGCTCTAATGAACATATTTACCGAGTAGGTTTACAATTTACAAGTCTCTTGATTGATACTGCAGTGTTTTTTTTCACATAACTTCGACTGTGGTCTTCCTATACACTCAACGGTTTTTCGTTGATTTTGCAATTAGAAACGAAAATATGTGGTTCTAATCTGAGTTTTATGTATTATGCATGCATTTTTTCTTGGAGCGAACATGCAGAAGTGATAGTGTGTGAATGTCTAAAGAAATGGATCGTTGTCATAATTCACTAAAGCCAAAAAGGTTCTGCTTCTTCGTCCACTGCAGTCATAATTATGCCCAAGATAATGACTCTCATTGCGCTGGTTGAATGGTAGCAACAATCTGGCCGTCTTTCTGTGCTGAAGCACACTGTAGCCCCTGCGAACAAACCCGATGCTCTCTTAGCTGATGCCCTGTAACGTCGAATTTTGCCCTTAGGGAGGCCGTTGTTGACATTCCTTGGCGCGTTGCTGAAAGCACCTTCCCCTTGTTTGTGCAGCTGCTGGACTTTCCCGACTTCTACTACCAACTGGTCCTTGGTTTCGCTGTCAGTGTTGGCGGTGTAACTGAAAATACGGTAAGTTGGGCTACGTGTTTCGCCTACACCTTGAGGACAAACTGATTGCTTTTATGAGCATCCTCCTTTGATAAAGCCATGTGGTTTATTCTTTCTACGCCAGAAAATGCGTAATTTTGCTCCACCTTGCAACCCCACCACGGTGCTCTGAAATAGCCTCTTTTGGTTGATCTACTTTAGGTAAAAGCCAGCTCTGCAGCCCTGCACGACTACATTGTCAAACACGAGTCCGATCACGACTTTATTTACGGATTGATGAAAACCGTCGGCCGCGCATTCACAAGCCTCAACGAACAACCGAGGTAAGCCGGCAGCCACTCTTCGGTGTGTTGTCGTTATTATCGGGTCTAGATGGTTTTGCGTTTGGTAGTCCACTTGTCCAGGAATTACAAATAGTACACCTGCTCATTCTGGGCGTAGATTTGGCGCACTTGGCCTCACTCGTCGTGCGCCTATTTGATGTCTGCCTCTAATACTGCAACTGTATTAACCAGCACAGGTATTCTGGAGCCGCGCGTATTGAGGCTTCTCCGTGTCTTGTGCATTAATCATGTTTTTGTTAGTGGAACTACCCAAGTTTAAGCAATTTGCTGGATTTGGTAATCACGAATCGCTCCTGCCTCTTAATATTTGTGCTGGTAAACGTGCACAGGCCAAAGTTAGTTTTCAAATCTAAAATGCCTGGATGTGACCAAACTTATTGGACAGACGTATTTCAACCGCGTCTGCTCGGGTGTTTGCGCTAAGCCTGCTCATTCAATGTACCGTCACAAATGCGCCTAATCGAAATTTGGGATTAAGTGGTCTAGTTAATGAATTAGTTTTTCACATGGCCTATTTGTGTGTTTTAATAGAATTCCTAACTCTAACCTTAATTGTCCTTGTTTTTTTTAAGGGTATGCCTTTCCTTGTTGAAATTTCTCGATTTCCTTCTCTGTGATCCTGTGGTCGCCTCATGCATGGAGTCGCACTTGTAGGTTGACATTTTCTTCTGTAAGCATTTGTGGTTCGCGCTTGGAGGTGTTAAGCCGTCAGTTTGACAAATTCTCACCTTAAAACAATACAATGTGCTTGGTTTTTTTATCTTGGTGAGCGTAATGCTATTCGGAATTATGTGCTAACGCCCTTAAACCTGATATATGCACTTGCCTTCGTCTTCACCTACTTGCATTTTGTCCAAAAGTGTTTGAGAGAGGAAAGGAGATGTGGGGTGCTCCCACTCGGGTGCTCCCACTTGGTAGTCATTGCTTTTCTTAAAAAGCACTTTATGAAAAGATCAGTTCTGTGCACCTTCTCGGCAATTTCACAATAGTCCAGCTGAGTTGACATAGTGAAGCAAACCTAAACAACTCCGCAACCTGCATGTGACAAAGTAGAACAACAGCAGTCATTTTAATTCATATTCTACTTGATGTTAAAGATTTGCTTATGTGTGGACCAATAACACGATTTTACTCTAAGAATTCCACTGCCAATTTTGTGCGTCGTTTCTTTCAAATGCGTGACGACTAATCACTAGTTTGTCTGTCTAGCAGCCGTTGACCGTATTTTGAATGTTGGCTGGTATTTGTTAATGGACTACCGGCGAACACAGAAAAATAAGCAAGTTCGCACCTTTCCTTCTATTATCTAGGCCTCTTGTTGAACAGATGGTTTCTTCTACATGGAAACACATACGGTTATCAACGGAGATCCCAAAACTGAAGGCTTCCATTGACATGTAAGCACATGCCACAACCACGTGGTTTTGGCCGTAGAGGATTATGGCTTTTTGTCGGTAGTAGTAGTAGTAGTTACTGATTTATACTCCGTCTTTTCACAGGAGCTTTCCATTTCTTCCAAATGCTTGAAGGAACTCCAAGGCATAATTGCTAGTGATTATGTGTTCAGGCAGCGTAGGTTATAATAAAAATAATTCCACAGCAAATTCTTAAATCCAGTTCTGAGCGTTATAAGAATTCACAAAGTGTCTGGTACAGAAATAGAGTACTTGTCTTTTTTTGGTCGTAATTACTGCCGTTCTAGTGCATAAACTGGTCCTGTTATGGTCTGATTTAGTAAAAACAGTTAACTTCTTCTCACTTTTCAAGAGCTTCCTTTGTCTCATCTCACTAAAACCCCTCATCCAGTAGCCTTGACTTTTGAACTACTTCAGATACGGCGCCGTTCTGCAATTCCCAGATCCTGTTCGATTCAAAGCAGCCCAATACCTCACGCAAAGTCTTCGCCACCGCTATCCTATTGTAAGTTCCACTCGTAGCGAACTAGCGATTTTAGATAATTCTTGTCTAAAATATTGGCATCTCCAACTTCCTGAATGCTAATTGAATAACACAGACCTGTCGGCACACGTTGTGCACATTTTCTTTTCCCTTGAATTTTGCACAATTTTGCATCTACTTTGTCAAATAACAGCACAGTTAATCATCGACATTTGTAAACGGTGAGTTTTAAAGCAGTTACATTCACGGTGGATGTGTTGTTAGCTCTCTACGCCTAACCCCCCACGTTTATCAGCTAATAGTCATTCGCGTGTTCATTTGTTTTGCTAGGATAGTTGACTTGGTAGCCAACCTTGACTCTTAGGTCATGTTTTTGTGCGTTTTGTTGAGGAATATTGTCAAATTTGACTTGGAGCAGTGGCGATTTAAACTTCAGTCGACATAATCATTCACATATTTCGACACAGGGTGCTGATTATGATGAGATAGAGTAAGAATAAGTACGTGACGGCCTTGCGTGTGCGAAACCGGCTAGATCACGTGTTTACCCTAACTTTGATAATCACATCCCAGTGGAAGCTAATCGCGGGACCCAATCGAACCTCGCACCTCAAGTAATACGACGCTATGCACATATTCAGGTCCGCTTCGACTACGTAGGCGCGTTAGCATCACTAGTTGTCTCAAAGTGTCGAAAACGGCGCCTCGCAAACTTACCGTAGTGTCATCAGGCCACTGTTTTAGTTTTCATGTAGTGACTGGTATGCTGTCGGTTTGAGGCCCACGCATTCGTCATTTTCATTGAGAAATCGCCTTGCTTTTTATTTTAGATCCGCAAAACAGCTGCCTCTAAGCTTTTTGAGTGCCTTCTACTTTACGATGTAGTCGCACCAGAATCAACTGAAGAATTGTCTGCCTTGCTAACGGAAACTGTTTGGTGAGTTGACCCCGGCCTCGGACTTTCGTTTTGTCGTATCAATTGTGCGCAAAATCGCGGTTGGACATTTTGGGCGCCTCCTAAACTTTCTTATCATTTGAGCATCTCACATGGAATCACACTCGAAAATTTGAGCTTCATTAGAATCGTGTATTTTTTTAACCTGCGACATCTCAATTTAACACTAGTCATCTATCGTGGTCCATGCATGGCACACATTTCAGTGCTGTACTTTTCGTCGCTTATTCATGCCATATGTGTGAAATTGACCATGTCATTCCAGTCCGCCCATTTGTCCGAATGTTCCTGTTGTAAGGCTACTTGGAATTTGTTCACGTGGTGAACAGGGCTCCGAGAGCGCCCGCATCAGACGGCATGTGTGCGTTTTATCAACGTTCCGAGCTACTTTTGTTGTTCTTGCTTGGCGTGTCATCTGTATGGAGGAAAAAGATTAGTTAACAAGCATTGGTTTCACGAGGTCCCGCTGAATGTTTATGTTGGCGCACTTTATTGGGCTATTTATGTCAACCCTTATGCTAGTTTTTCCTTCCTTGTAACCCTTGTTGCTAAAATGTCACCTCAATTGCTAGCACTCCCTTGTGGTTGTTCGTTTCAGGGAGCAGGATCTGGCGGAGCTCAAGCCTACCCGGCTGAGAATTTGCGAACTCCTCGGCGTCCCCTCTACGAGGCCGGACTCAGCTGCTTCCACTGAATAAGCTTTACGTACTTCCAAGTTCCCTCTCCCCCACGGTTTACCAACCAGCCAATGTTTTTTTTATTTTCCTGGTTCAACTGCCGATTCCGTTAAGAGACTGCAAGTTTGATTAAACGTACAGCGCGTATTTAATAAAATAGTGTGCCTTGTCGAATAACTGATGTTAGGAATCGTGTTTAGTGGGTTTTTAGTAACTTGGTGCAAATAGTAAAGTAGGACAGGTTGTGAATTAGGGCACTATGAGAAACACGACACAATGCAAATGAACACTGTTAGTGAGTACTGAGCATTGTGTAAAAAAAAGGAAAGTTAACAAGTTGTGTGGTGATAGGGCGTTGTGCTTTTCCACAAACTTTGCAAATCGGCATCCAACGCAGCACAGCCCACTCTGCATCAAATGGTACAGAGTAGTAGCGATGTCAAATAGCGTGTAAGTACGAGACGTGACTTATATTGTGTAATAAAAATTGCCTGGGATAGCAAGCGTGTAGCCCAATTTGGTAGAATGTGCTGGTGCCTCTGCTGCTGTTCAAAACCATGGCTGAAATCACGTTGACTCCTACTTTAGTTCGACACGACCACCCCGCCATTAGGCCCCTTCATTTGCTCCTACTTAATTGATTATATTGTTGTAAGCCCAATTAGATTTGAATTCGAGTCTGCACCGGGATGGTCTTATTGGTTTTGGAGAAAGTGATGTGCAAACATACAGAAGTGTTTTCCGCCCTAAAATATCGCTTGCAAACCTAGATGGGATTAAGTCCATCCAATAACCCGCTTATACGAATAAGCTGTCACGTTTCGTCTCAGCTACCAGTCACTTGAACGATAAGTGGCCATTTGTGAATGGCATTCTTTTCGTCAACATTGTTTGCTGAGGTTTAATTTTGGAAAAATTATGGGTATTTATTATAGGAGCATATAATGAGTCGTTTAATAAGGTTACTCTGCGTTGATAATTATACGTTTGTCTGTTCCATTTATGAACAACAATGTCGCATTGTAAACGCTTGAAAATAGCTAGGTAGAGCTATCTTTGCATATTTTGCAAATGAGAATAATTTCGTCTGGACGTTCGAGTTGTAGAAGTTTCTCGAGTTAGTCAAAAGGGATACTCACATTCGACAGTTCCAACTCGAGGGATAATGTCTTCCGTGTCTTGCGACGCAAGACGTTAAATTACACTCTTCAGTGTCTAAGACTTTTAAGTTGGTTTGAACTTCCATAAGTTCATTTGGTAGAACTTTTGGTATAGAACCGGGGTTCCGCTGTTATGGCACAATGTCTCAATGACAACTTTTATAACAAATAAAATGAATGTTTTGGTAACCAGTCGTATCGAATATAAACTAGCGTTAGGTTAATGTATGAGTTGTTAAGAATCAAAGTTCCTCTTTAAGTACCTTTTAATGGTAGTCTAGCAGACCGTCAGTAAAGACGAATAAGAGGTGAATTATCTAGATAGGTTATACCAAGCTGATTGGAAGGAGGGACTTGTTGATGGCCCCGGCATGTTGTCTTGAACCACGCCGGGGCCACTGCGACAATCTAGGCCGAATACGTTACCCTGCGTTCCCCCGAAAATATAGAAGACCGGAGTGGGGAAGGCATCACCATTTACTAGACCACTCAACCTAGTTGTGTCGTTTTACAGTTGAGTGGACGTGTAAATATGAACACAGGCGTTTGTGAGGTCACATGGCCAAAGCCGGAGGTGGTGGTACATTCAGAGGGGTAATGAACCAGTGGTCTCACGTGAAAAGGGGGGACGTGTGCTGGAAGCTGCGAGGACAGGGTTATTGGACGTGAATCAACACGATTCACTACAGACTCATACCTACCTTGCACCTATAGTTTGCAAGCACACTAAAAGCATCAGTGGGGGGAACCAAGCCAGAAGCCAAGGGCAGCTTCCCTTCAGAGGGGGATCAGTGTAGTGGATGCTCCGGCCCCATGACATGATCAAGAAGAGAGCAAGACAAAATGGAGTTCTTTAATAGAGACTACGAATAGTCACAGTCTGGTCAGTCGCATGGGATGTTGTTTCAGTCTCAAGACTCGGTTTTGTGTTTTCTACACTATCTGTAGGGCCGTACTCGGACGCAAAGACATCAGATTGCTCGGTTCTCAGTCAATTCTCTCTTTGTGTGCCCATGTACTGGTAAAGAGGACGACTCAGAAGCAGCAAATTACGAGTGGCGCACTGAGCATAGTGGACACGGATGAACACGAAATGTCGGCTTCAAGTAATTTTGAGAGGAAATGTAACATGCGCACCGTATTTTCGAGCAAGAATCCGACACGCAAGTTCACTATGATCAACCATGGGCGCAAGAACATGCTTAACTGAATCCCCCAAAAAGACGCCCTCTACAGAAGTAGTTTGGTTAATTTCTCTTAACTTACAGAAATGTCTTCACGACAGTTTGGTACAATGAACGCAAAGTACCTCACAATGTTTGAAGCCGCAAATTAATGCTGACCAATGAAACGAACAAGTGCCTAAGTATAACTGATGAAAAATCTCAAATTTAAATCAAACCGATCGCCGATGAGGCCAAACAAATTATTCTGGTCACGTTGGATACAAACCGGATATTTTTTGTTACACCAATTAGATCATGTAAGTTTATGAAAAAATTGAACATAGTATTCTTGCGGTTTTCATATTCTTTCTTAATTTTTTATCATTGTCCTTCCTTTAAAGAACATTTCTTATAAAAAATTACAATTTAAAGTGATGTAATAACAGTTTAATCCTTCTGTGGAAGGCCACATCGCAGGTACGAATAAGAGGCTTACATAGCAATATGCCCCATGGACCTACTACAACCCAGTCCATCAGCCGTCCCCTGAATGCATGCATGAACCTACTTTCTCCACCTGATTAGCTTAGGTATATTCATGACAAATCAGACACACAAAGACTGAGGATTAACCGTACCAATTGCATGACCCAGTTGGCAGCGTCATTAATCACCAGTATTTTGACCACCCGCACGTCCGTTTCTGGTTGGCTGCACATTATCGTAGCTATTCCATCTCACAATGGATTAGCTGACCTCAACACTCCCAAAGATGTCTGTGCCCCAGTACGGCAGTGCAGTAGAAGACCCGAGCCCTATTATGAAGACTAGTACAGCAAAACTGATGCTATTGACCAATCACGAGCCAGAACCGTACATCAAGCGCCGTATAGTTGAGTTCACTACGCTGGCTGTACTACTCAATATACCGCCCCACAGCCTTCCTTGTTTCTATTTGGCGGTAGATCTTTAATAGCAGACCATTCAAACGCACACGGAGAGGATTGGCTGTGCTCGGCGTGGTTCAATTTCTGTACAATAGAAGGATGCGTCAGTACAAATGAAGGTTTCCGGCCTAAAGTAAGAACAAGACTGGAAGGTGAAATGGACGACTTTAATGGAGACAGAACTTGGCCACAGTCTAGATTAGCAACATTGAGGTAAACAGGGTCATTGTATAGCCTCGTCCCGGTGTAGAGCGGGGGCAGAGCGCCGCCATCTCCCCTACCAGCCATTGGCCCGAAACCATTGGAGCGCCGTGGAGGCGTTATCAGGTGATTTCCGGTTTGGATGACCGTTGAAATTTCCAATGGAGCGCCAAAGACCGAGTAGTTGATCATTTCACGGGTTTGCCTTTCTATTTCTAGAAGCCAAGCCGAAGCCAATGGGCGGACATGAGCAACCAGGACCAAGTACATAAGCAAAACCCTTGTCAACAATGAACCTTGAACCCTGACATTGGAGACTTCCGTTGTACTTTGTACCAATAAACCCGTATAACTGTCCCTTCGCTCTCTTATTATGCCCAAGCACGCTACAAATGGTGGTAGCGGTCCGCGCAAGGACCCAAAAAAATTTTGTAGCCCATCGGCAGTGACGGAGCAGATGTTCTTCCCCCGTTACGCCCCTCCGGTCTGCGAGCTGGATGACGATTTCGAGGCGTGGTTTGCCAAAATTCAAGATGCGCTGAGTGCGGTCGAGCTCGATCGCCGCTCAGCCTGCGTTATGAGGTTCATGTCTAGACAAGCCACGTTAAGGGTGAACAGAGCAGGCTGTACGCCTGACACGCCCTACAAAACTCTCGTTCAGACCCTGAAGAACACTTTCGTTAGCCCCTCTGACAAAGCCCTTCGTCCTGCTCTCCCGCTGGTCTGTCCGAAAGTGCTGCAATGGAGACGGAAAAGTCGTCGGTTAATTGGCTGTTTTCGGCGGCTCTTCAATGCCCACGTGGCGCCAGGGTGTAGGAAGTCGAGCCCCCGGTCACATGTGGACGCCATCATGCTGTGTTATTCACCCTCGACTAATGACTGACCGCAAAGATGCCATGCCGCTATACTACCCCCCCCCCAAGACCGAAGCCGATCCCAGCTTCTCATGGATTACTAACGCAACTATCCCAACCGTATGGTCTATCGGGGATGGCTCACGAAACTTAAGGGGCTCGTCGTCGTCTCCCTTCATAGGCGGTAAATGGGGCTTGAGTTGTTCAAATGGATCGTAAACCTTTGGCATGGGCGATCGTCAGGACTACGAATTACACAAGTTACCTCGCTAAGAAGCAAGTCGACTATATATGGTCCTCCCTTCATCCGTCCTATTCGCCGTGGCCATTCACACTAGTTCACCTTCATCGACCGGGGTGCCTTGCGTCCGTTTGCAGCAATTTTCTGTTGTTTGTGACCTAGGGCTAACTGCAACCTGGCTGACTCGAAAGACCGACGCAGTTACCTTCCCACACCAGCGAAATATTCAGGCTCTCGGAATGGGGGTGCTACAACGTCAACTGGCAACCAATATACATGGCTGAAGGTCATTACCGCTGGGATTAGACCAGTGGAGGAATACACAGCAGACTTATGCCAGCGGACATGTAATTAATGTGTCGTCCCACTTATTTAACTAATGCCCTTCGAGATGCAATCTTAGAAGCACCTCAAGCGTTATGTTTGTTCAAATTGCGCACAACCTTGAAAGTGATGTGCTGTCGTACGGCCTCCTTTGGACGCCTAACAGATTGCACAACTCTAAAAGCAACGAAATTCCAAACTGACAACCTATATCGATGTGATTTTTGTGGGGTACACTATAATCCGCAACCCATCCAGCCATGAACCCGTTTGCTAGAGACAGGATCTGCCACGATAAGAGGTACAGCGTTTGCCCACTTTGCAAAGTAGTCAACCACAACTTAAATGTACCGGTTACCATTAGCCGTTTGTTCGTGAGAGCCCATTAGATATAAACCAACGAATTCAGTTGGGAAAACTACGTACCCCTTCCACGTTGGATGGAGTCAACCACGTTCAAACCTTTTCTATCCTATCAGGATCCGTTCCAATACCTTGCTTAGAGACTACGCGGCCCACAAACTTAACCGATTCCCTGAGGAGCGTACGTTACTCTGGATTAAGTTTAAGTCCTGCCTCCCGAAGACGTTCAAGGACATTACCTAACTCTCACATCCTCCGCGAAATCCTCCGCATGGACGATCACGTCGTCCACAAAAACTAAGCACTCATGTAGCACTAGGCCAAGGACGACGGTGTGCATAGGCCACTGAAATGTTGCCCGGGCATTCGCTAGGCCGAAGGACGTATGCTCAAATCCATATATAACCCTGAAGGAATTACGAAAACTCTCTTCTCTCGAGGGGCTAGGGTTGATTTTGGCTTGCCAGTAGCCCGACTTAAAACCCAAGGTAAAAAATGAGGTTGACCCTTGTAGACCACCAAACGTGACGTCCATCCGTGGAATAGGGAAGCTATCTTTTACAGTGACAACGTTAGGCTCTCACAAATCTACACAACCTGACGGCACCTCCATTTTTCTTGAAAACAACAATGGGTGATACTTATGGGGAAGACGAAAGTTGATGCTTACTTATGTTACAGCCCCACCAACTACCTTCTAATACACCGAAGGTATCTGTCGAGGTCGTTATTTAATAGGACGTGCCTCTGTCGTGTAAATGTCATGCAGGGTAACAACCGTGCGACCAGCACCTGCCCATCCCACACAAAAATATCAGCGTGCCAAGCTGAGTTAGATGTGGCCCCTCGCGGTGTGACTGTGGGCTCACCAGCCGATCTTGCTCAAATGAGGTCAGATGTGCTGGTACTGAAATCGCCGATACGACTCCGTTACTCTGCCCGTACACTACTGGTACTTCAAGAGGCCCTATGCGTAAGCAACTTTGCTGTCAACCGTACTCACTCGCGTACCTGTCGAAGATATCTGACCCAAGTATACCAATGTAGGGCATGTGTATGCATGGAATGCGTACAATAAATGCTAGTCTAAACTACCCGAAATGATGAGTGGGACATCTACACACGCACTACCACGCATCACGGTTCCATTCGCGGCCTTAACACTAATCGATACGGTCACCAGGTATGGTTTATGCATCTACTTAGGGAACCGTCTTGGCTGAACTAAGAGCGCCCGGCACCCGCATCAAACAGGAAATGCATTAACCTATTGCATATACCTATATATACAAAGAACTTCATATCAGCACAGGATGCATAAATGGCTGGACGTTGAATCAACGCACCTGATGACCTACTGGGACTAGGTCAATCAACAGATTCTGCCATTGCAGAACCGCCGGGTTGCCCAATTTGCGGCTCTTTGAATGTGTTCCTTCGCCGATGGCGCCATCGAGGAGCAGGACGAGTCTGTGCCTGCGAAAAGAGTGAAGCTACGTAGTCGAGAGCATTCTCACCGGGGCGATAACTACGATCCCGGAGCCTGTCGAGATACGTATTTGTGTTGTTAGAAAATAACTCTAACAATTTGCCCCTCAGCTCTTCGTACGGGGTGCGCGTAAGCAGCCAGCCCGTTCCGCCCAGTTTATTGCTCTTAGGACTAACACACCTGAACTGCTCTGCGGCTTTGATGAGGGTTGAAGGGGTCTGCGTCCTGCTGAGCCTCTCGTAGGCTGGAATCTATGAACCCCTCGCGGCTGCCATGTCCGTTGGCGGCTGACAACCGGAGAGTTGCGATTAAGATTTGGATCCTGGTAAAGGATTTCTTCGACCCTTGCCAAGGGGCGGTAGATGAGGTACCCATAACGTCGGACTTCATCTGTTGTGAGGCCCAATATGACATATTTAACAGTTTTCAGTTTAATCACCTCCGCGGACTTGTCCCGATGTACGTTGGGGACCATGTCAAATAACTCGTCCACATAACATTTAATGGTCTCGCCGTAGCGTAACTTTCACAACCCCAGCTCATGGAGCCGAAATGCTCTGTCTGAGGGGCTAACGAAGTTATCTCTCAACTTCTGGACAAAGGTCTCATAAGGCATTTCAGGCGTATAGCCTGTTCTGCGGGCCATTAATGGGACTTGCCTGGACAGGAACCTCATAATGCAGGCTGAGCGGCGATCAAGGCTCAACCGCAAACAGGGCATCTTAAATCTTAGCGGACCACACATCGAAATCTTCATCCAGTTCGTAGACCGAAAGTACGGCGGGGGGAAAGACCAGTTCCATCATCGCCGATATGTTATAAGGATCTTTTGGGTCCTTGCGAGAATCACTGCTGCCATTTGTAACATGCCTGGATATAAGAAGGCGCAGAGGCACTATTACAGATCCATTGGTTCAAAGCGCAGGCAGAGACTTCTAACATCAGGGTTAGAGTCTCTTGAGGCATGGAGTTTCGTTATATACTTGGTCCGGATATCTCTTGTCCGGCCATTGACTCCGACTTGGCTTCTAGAAACATAAAGGCAAACTCGTGAGGTGATTGCACTGTTGTTGATTTCCAGTGTTGGTAAAATATCCAGTTCGACACTCCCCACACCCCACATCTGGCAGGATAGTGGCCAAAGCGAACAGTTGACGAGAGACTTTGCTCTTGTAGACTTGCAGGAAAGACTCATCATCCATTGAAGGTCCTTCGCAGTTGCAGTCCAGCTGGCTTTCCTGTCCAAGTCGTTG